GGCAGGTTCCCGGCTAAAACCGGGGAGCCCCCGAGGCCCCCGGAGCCGCCCCCACTGCCCGACTTGGTTCCCGGAAGGCCTTCGTGGAGCGAGGCCAAGGGGTAGTGTGTCTCTGGCCCTGGCCAGGGCTCGGGGTCCCCCTTGGCGCCGTTGAGAAAGGCATCGCCGTAGCCGCCCAGGGTGGGGCGCTCGTAGGGCGAGTCCAGGACCCCCGAGTACTTCTCGGCGTAGCGCTTGAGGAGGTTGGAGGCCGTGAGGGCGGAGATGTCGTCGTGCGCCCAAGCGTAGTGGCAGCGCTGGCGCCCCCCGGGGGGCAGCTCCAACTTGTGGGCTGGCGACGGGGTGGTGGAGGAGACGTCCAGGTGCTGCTCTGGCCACTGGTTGAGAGGCTGGGCGTGTTCCGGTGTCCAGTGCATCTTCGACAGAGCTGCAAGAGAGAAGGGGTGGTGAGGTCCTTCAGGGCCCCACCTCCCCGCGCGCCCACCGCCCCGAGCATCCACCTCCCTACCCACCGGCACTGCATGCAGCTCGGGACAGGCTGGTTCTCCCGCGCCCACCACCCTCCTGGGGAACCTTCTCCAGCACCAAGTACACAGTACCGCAAGCATGTCAAACTTGGCCCGCGGGCTGCATGTGGCCCACAACTATTTTTGCAGCCCAGCCAATATAACGGTAGGTAAGAAATGTTTTAATAATTTCATAATCTTCCCCACACACCACGTGCATCTGTAGCCGCAAACTTTGCATATCAACTCTGGTCACCCAATTTTAAAATCAGACTTGTTAGTGACATCTCTGGGTTTGTAAAGAAAATTATGGTAACTTAAATTCATAAATATTCCAGCGCATGTGGAAGAAATTCCAATATCGTCCCGTTTTGGATGTGTGGCAGTTAACTGGTTAACCTTTACAATGTCCTGTTATGCAAATTATTAATAACGAATTACAACATTCACTAATTACTGATCACTATAATCGTGTTGCATTCATTTCCCTTATGTTTCTTACATGCAGGCGCACCATTTCTCCCCACTAATACTAGCAGCAAATATTTTAGCAGCCGATTGCTGCGTCATTACTCTTGCACTGACTTGTTTGGTGGGCACAACAGGAAATATTTCACTTTCAGAGAACAAGAAAAATAGGTTTATTTGCATTTTTGGCCCTGTTAGCCTTTGAGTTTGACATGCTTGCAGTACAGGATTTACCCATCTTGCCCCAGGGTTAAAGTTATCTGAAAATACTTCCCTCAGAACAAGAGGGATCTGGAAAGGATATGGTTGGCCCTAACTTCACCTTTTTTTATATTAAATTTATTGGGGTGACATTGGTCAACATGATATAGGTTTCAGGTGTAGGTGTCTATGTTACAAGATCTGTATATTGCACCATGTGCCCACCACCCAAAGTCACATCTTCTCCTGTCACCATATATTGGGGCTGCCTTCTCCTCCCACCCCCTTCCCTCTGGCAACCAACTAACTGCATCTTATATGCAATGATTATTATTTGTCCTGGCCACACCAACCCTGACCTCTAGAACACAATGGTCCTAACTTCCAGACCTAATGTAGTGAGGGGTAGAACATGCTAACCCTGGGAATAGCCAAGCCCACGTGGGGTTCATTCAGGAACAGCTGTTTGTTGCATGCCCACCATGTGCTAGGTAGGCACTAAAGAGACACTGAGGTTGTGTAATGATGAGACGCCTGCCCAGGGCCCCTGACCTAATGGCCCAACAGTTTGATAGTCTTAAGTGCTCTGTTCACCTCCATCTTCCTAGAGACTCCAGGGCCCCCTTGGGGCCTCAACTGAGGGATATAGATGTCTTTGGCAGTTCCGCACCATCCCTGGGAAATCCCAGAGGCTGATCTAGAAGCATTCACTTCCTTTCCACTTGGTTTCTTTTAGTCTCTGCCTGATAAGGTCAAGCACATGGGTTCCAGACCCAATTCTGCAGGTGATGGCTGTGTGCCCAGGGCAAGTGTTGCCATCTGTCTCATTCCCAAAATATGATCATCACAATACAGACAGGTTATTTAGAGTAGATCAATCACAATCCAGGGAAGATGGGGGAAAGTTAGTTCCCAGCATTGCAGTTAAGTGCACATCTTAGCTTCCCAGTAACCAAATAACTCACTTTGCAAAGTAAAAAAACCTTGCCATACTCGAAAACAGCAAAATGTTCCTAGCATAGAGATCACAGGGCTTATTTTTCATGGACCTCAGGAAGCAAACCTATGAGATGTAATAATGTCCTCTTAGCCATGCCACAAACACAAATATTACATGGCTGTTTCTTACACTGCCCCTCAACACCAGTCAAGGCATGAGCCAAACTGTAGTCAAACTATTCAGAGCTTGGGGAAGCGCACTCTGGGCACATGGCTCCAATGGGTTAGCCTGATCCGAGGGTAAAAGCTCAAAGACTAAAAGGCATACTAGAGATGGTTTTTACTGACGAGTATTTCTCAAACCTAAGCTTGTAATGAGATAAGTTAGCCTTACAGTTTCAATATTCTTTCTTCAACAAATACTAAATGTTATGCTGCGGGGGGGGGGGGGCGGGGAGGCGCAGATTGCAAGGTGAATATGATGGTTCAGCCAGATGTGGAGACAGATAGACAACATCTTTTGTGAGGTGGGGCTCTAGGGAACATGCTACACCCGGTGGAGAAAGCCTCACCAAGGAGGTGGTGTCTTCACTGGACTTTGAAGGGTGAGGGACCAAGGTGACCAGACAGGCTAGAGCAGTGGTCGGCAAACTCATTAGTCAACAGAGCCAAATATCAACGGTACGATTGAAATTTCTTTTGAGAGCCAAATTTTTTAAACTTAAACTATATAGGCAGGTACATTGTTATTAACTTAATTAGGGTACACCTAAGGCTTAGGAAGAGCCACACTCAAGGGGCCAAAGAGCCGCATGTGGCTCATGAGCAGTAGTTTGCCAACCACGGGGCTAGAGGGTGCCAACACCTTTAAAGATAAAGAGCACAATGCATTCAGAAAGCCTGGACTGGGTTAACTCATATGCCCTATTCCCTTCCTCAAGACAATTTATTGCCACATTCTTGAAAATTGTCATAATAAATCTACATATCTACTGTGTCTATGATGTGAATCATGTGCCTTAAGAAATAGGGCTTCAAACAAACAAATAAAAAAAAAGACCCCAAACAGCCACAGCAATCTTGTAAAAGAAGAACAAAGTTGGAGGGATCACAAATCTGGATATCAAACTATACTACAAAGCCATTGTAATCAAAACAGCCTGTTACTGCCATAAGAACAGGCATATAGACCAATGGAACAGAACAGAGACCCCAGAAATCGACCCACACCATTGCTGTCAATATTTGACAAGGAAAGCAAAAACAATGGCGTAAAGACAGTCTTTCCAACAAATGGTTTTGGAAAAACTGGACAGGCACATGCAAAAAGATGAAACTAGACCACCAACTTACACCATACACAAGAATAAGTTCAAAATGTAAGTTGTGAAACCATAAAAATTCTAGAAGAAAACATATCCAGTAAAAACTCAGACATCTCATGTAGCAGAATTTTCACTGATACATCTTCAAGCGCAAGAGAAATAGGAAAATTTAACAAATGGGACTACATCAAACTAAAAAGCTTCTGCACAGCAAAAGAAACCACCATCAAAATGAAAAGAGAACCCACTGTATGGGAGAACATATTTGCCAATGATACATCTGATAAGGGGTTAATATCCAAATACATAAGGAATTCATACTACTCAACAATTAAGTCCAATTTGAAAATGGGGAAAGGACCTAAATAGACAACTCTCCAAAGAGGACATACACATGGACAATAGACGTATGAAAAAATGCTCTACGTCACTAATCATCAGAAATGCAAATTAAAACCACAATGAGATATCGCCTCACACCTGTCAGAGTGTTTATCATCAATAAATCAACAAACAAGTGCTGGCAAGGATGTGGAGAAAAGGTCAACCCTAGTGGGAATGTAGACTGGTGCAGCCACTGTGAAAGTTTCTTCAAAAAATTAAAAATGAAACTACCGTTTGACACAATGATCCCACTTCTGGGGATATAGCCAAAGAAACTTGAAACACTAATTCGAAAGAATATATGCACCCCTATGTTCATTGAAGGGTTATTTACAATAGCCATGATCTGGAAACAGCCCAAGTATCCATCAGTAGATAAGTGGATGAAAACGCTGTGGTACATTTACCCAAAGGCATACCACTCAGCTGTAAAAAGGAAAACGTACTGTTTTCAACAGCATGAATGGACTTAGAGCCCCCTGCTCCTGAGGGGCGGTCAGGGCAAGCAGTGGCCAATAGACGTATGAAAAAATGCTCTACGTCACTAATCATCAGAAATGCAAATTAAAACCACAATGAGATATCGCCTCACACCTGTCAGAGTGTTTACCATCCTATCCTATATAATAAAAGGCTAATATGCAAATAGACGGAACAGCAGAACAACCAGTCCCTATGACGTGCGCTGACCACCAGGGAGCGCGCATGGAACATGGCAGGCGGCAGCAACAGCTGGATGGTGGAGCAGGTGAGCGGAGGTGCCAGACCAAGGCAGGGCACGGGTCACAGTCATCGGGGTGAGCCTCTGGTGGTTACTGAGAAGTCTTTTTTCCCGCGTGCACTGGGTCTCACCTGGCGCTCACACCTGCTGCCACCCAATGCCCAATCGCTTGGTGCCGTCAGTGGGTGCAAGTAGCGGCTGCTGGCCCTGATCGTCCCTGAGGGCTTCTCCACCTCCCCCTGCTCCTGAGGGGCGGTCAGGGCAAGCAGTGGCCAATAGACGTATGAAAAAATGCTCAAAGTCACTAATCATCAGAAATGGGGGGGAGTGCTGCCAGCAGACAGGGGACCACAGCGGGAGGGGCCAGGCGGGGGTGCAGAGGATGGGCCGAGACCTGCCCCTGTGCCCACTGCAGCCTCAAGGCCCACAGTTCCTTTCAAGGTGCACGAATTCGTGCACTGGGCCCCTAGTCAATAAATAAACAACAAGTGCTGGCAAGGATGTGGAGAAAAAGGAACCCTAGTACACTGTTGGTGGAAATGCAGACTGGGGCAGCCACTATGGAAAACAATATGGAGTTTCCTCAAAAAGTTAAAAAGGGAACTCCCATTTGACCCAGTGAACCCACTTCTGGGAATATATCCTAAAACCTCCAAAAAACTAATCAGAAAGAATATATGCACCCTATGTTCACAGCAATGTTATTTACAATAGCTAAGATTTGGAAACAGCCCAAGTGCCCGCCAGTAGATGAATGGATAAAAAGGCTGTGGTACAGCCTGGCGGGCATGACTGAGTATA